GGCTATAACCGGTTGTTGTATCGAAGAATCGGTGACTCATTCCGATTTTTTATTAATCGAATGGTTCTAATATAAATGAATTTGACCATTTTAATTTTGATGAGATGGTGCAATAAAAATGTTAGAAGTTCTGGTCAGTTTGATCACTCTCTAATTTATATTTTCTTAAAACCTTTAAGTTGAATATATTTGCTATTTGAATTTTATATAAATAATGAAAATATCATGGCCCAAAGTTTTTATTTAGAATCATATATTCAGAATATTTAATGGTGAAGTATCATGATTTAGAATATCATATATTTAGTAAAAATATTTTTATTTTATTATTATTATGCCATTAAAACGTCGACCTTCTAGTTACCTGGTTAGGAGAGGAGAGATATTAGATCTAACTTATGTTAAGAAAGGAAGTGAGATTTAAAAAGAATTGGTTAGAAAATATTAGAAATGACCTTTTTTTTAAACTAGATTTAAATGAGAATTTGACTCTTAATTGGTCATAATAGACGTACTAGGATAAAGGCTTGACGTTGTTATTGTTATGCCATTAAAATCATATTAAAATTTTTAATATTCATTACTTCATTTAGTTCAACTCCTGGTTCAACATTGACTGTCGCTATTCTAGTTCAACGGTTGATCTGATTTTTCAATTCTTGCCTTTATTTAATAGCTCCGGGTCCATCAAAAGTACCTCTTTCACTTCCAGCAATTACACAATGCAATTTAAAATTAGTTGTAATAGAAATTACACTAAAAGATTAAATGTTATTGTATCTATAAAAAGCTTATCCTTCAAAATTCTGTTTCGGCGGTTTCAGCTTTCTTCGCGGCGGAGTGATCCGGCTATCTGTCGGATCTCCGGCGAGACGGAAAGAACTCTATGGAGAATAAACGGATTCTTCCGTCGGATGCTTGGAAGAATTACAGGAAAGGTTTGGCTATTCCGGTCACTGATGCTTTGGAAGTTTTTAATGGTGGTGCTAAGGTTCTTGAGAATTTTAATCAGAACTTTAAAAGTTTGAAGGAAAAACCATTAGTTATCAACGAGGGTGGTTTGCTGAGCAAGAAGTTTATTCCTGAATGCGTCCCTGGCAAAGGAAAGGAATTGTTGGAGGATCATCGTCTGAATGTGAAGGATTTTTCGCCCCTGCAGGCGGTAATTAATCTCGAAAACTTCGAACGAGATGTAGGGGCTTCTTCTTCTACTGGAAAAACCGTGATTTCTTTTAAAAGTTTTAATTCAAAATCTCTTCCTTCTTCTCCGATTTTGCGAGATTTTTCAAAATCTCCGGTGATTCTTAACACAAAGGATGCTAGTAATGTTGATGTGGAATTGTCTCTAAAGAAGGAAACTATTCGCCCATCGGCTGTAACAGAAGCCAGTGAAGATAAAATCAATTCTGCGGTAATTGAAGAGGGCAATGTGAAGACAAACTCCGTTTGGAGTAGACGTCCATATGTTAAGGTGGACAATTTGGAGCTGGGATCCTTTTTATCTGATGATGGTAAAGTGGCTTTGCTTCATGCTGAGAAGGAGTTGGAGAATGCAAACAAATTAAACAAGTCCCTGGTGGTGAAAATTTTTGGGGAAAATATCCCGTTTCATATAATCAGTAATGATTTGAGAAGACTATGAGATAAGTTTGGCAAATTCCATATTACGGGACTGGGACTTGGATGGTTCTTATGTGCTTTTGAAGAACCTACTGCTTTGGAAAGCATTCTTTTAGGTGGCCCTTGGCTTATCAGGGGACAAGTTATTGGCTTGGACAGATGGTCCGTGAACTTCAATCCTACATCGATGAAGGGGATTACAGCACCCGTGTGGATTAGATTAAAGAATCTACCACTGTAGTGTTGGGATAAGATTAACATCTGTAGAATTGCTTCTCTAGTGGGCAAACCATTTCTTCTTGATGGGAACACTTTCCAGTGGAGTAGGAGGGAATTCGCTCGAGTGTGCGTTCGTATCCCTCTAGACTTGAAACTACCACAAGGTGTTTGGGTGAAGGGTCTTGCTGGCGAATTTTATCAGAAAGTTGAATATGAATGTATTCCTAGTCTCTGTTCTAATTGTGGTAGGATGGGACATGATTTAAAATCATGTGCTGAGTTAAAAGAAAAATAAGTTTTGGATATGAAATCTGCTATTCCTACTGAGGTGGTAAGCGTTCAGGCTAATCAGGCGTTGAATGTGAAGTCTATTGATGAAGAAGGGAAGATTGTAGATAATACCTGGACCCAAGTAAAACATGGTAAAAAAAGAATCAGCAAAGTTTTGTTCAACAGGAAGGTTCTTAATAAGAGAAGTTTTGTTCCCATGAAAAAAATTTTTATTCCAAAACCAGGATCTTCTAATGTGAAAGAGGCGGGAAAGTTGGCAGAGAATCAAATTCAAGTCAGGGTTGATTTCGTTCAACCTGTATTGGAGGTGAATGATAATTCTGCAGATGTTACAACTACTACAGAAGGTATTGCTGGAAAATTTTCAGAAAGCAAATCCGGTCTGGATACTACCAACAAATTTGATGTGTTATCAGATTTATTGGATCCTAATGAAGCAGAAAATATAAATGATAAAAATGAAGAAAGTTTGGAGGAAGGGGAAATTCGGAATTCTGTTACATTGCCCGGTAGTAATGAAGCTGATATTGCATTTGTTCAGCAAACTGATGTATCTTGGACTGAAAATAGGGACAGACCTGTTAATAAGTTAGCTATGGATGGAAATCGATCATCCGAGAAGAAATATAAACTTTTAAAAGAACTTAAATCCCTTGGATCGGGTAATGTTATCCCTCATAACAGGAAGGTGGGAAGTAGTAGAACCAAAAAGGTGGGGGGGGCCTGACCCCATTTCCAAATAATGACTTCGTTATTATTTTGAAATTGTAGAGGAGCCAAAAAAATGGAGGCTGCTCTATACCTCAAGGAGATTGTCAAGGACTATAGGGTGTTCTTTATTGGTTTATTGGAGACAAAAATCAACTCTCAGGATAATAATCAACTGTTGAAGTTTCTGGGCACAAATTGGAGTTTGTTTGCTGTTCCTGCGGCTGGCTTATCTGGTGGGATAATGGTGTTATGGAGGAATGACTTAGCAGCTTTTTCGGTTATTGAAGCAACGTCTCAAATGATCTTGGGTAACTTGGAGGTTCACGGCAAAGAAAATTAGATTGTTGCTTCTATTTATGGCAGCACTAATGCCCTTTTAAGAAGAAGTCTTTGGAGTGATATTGAAAAGCACTGTTCTAATGATCTTCCTATGATAGTGGGAGGAGATTTCAATTGTTTGTTATCACAAGCTGAGAAAAGAGGAGGTAAGAAGTTTTGCTTAACTCAAGGATCGAAGGATTTTAGTAATTTCATGATTGATAATGATCTTCATGAACTAAGTTCGATGGGATCTAAATTCACTTGGTGTAACAATAAAAATGGTAATGCCCGGATTTTGGAGAAGCTAGATAGGTGTTTAATTAATTCCCAGGCTTTGAATTCCTTACAAATTGCAATTGTTAAACACCTTCCCCGCATTGCTTCGGATCATTGTCCCTTATTACTGGAAATTTATAAACCGAAAGAGAAGTTTAATAGAGAAATTCGGTATGAGGAGACCTGGGCGTCTTATTACGGAGCCTCGGCTTTGGTGAAGAATATCTGGAAGAGGAAAAGTTTGGCTGATCCGCAAGCTGCCCTCAATCTGAAACTTAAGAGAACTTTAAGGGGACTCTTCTACTGGAGTAAGGCTAAATTCTTGGAGCT